AAATGCGGTTAGGTTAATAAAATTTTTATTTTTTTTCATGTTTCTTTGTTCAATTATTTCCAATGATCTGCAAGTGTCCTTATATTTATGACCAGTGAGTGTATATTTGATCATCGTGATTCAAAGCCAAGTAAAGTTTACTATTGAAATTTGTTATTGTAGCTACTGAACTAATACTTGATAGATTAAAATCAAAAAAAGAATAAGGACCATCCCATTTTTGTCCATCTCCAGAACAATACATTAATATTTGATTTTTATCTCTTCCCATTATTGATAAAATTAATTGAGAAATCTTTGAAACATCTTTTTCCATTGTACTGGTAACTTGAAAATAAGAATAATTTGTTTCCAAATTAATATCATTCACTTCCACATTAGAATTATTTAAAGCATTTGATGATAAATTTTCAATATTTTTCATTAAATTACTCTCTAAAGTAATCTTTTGTTTTATGTTTTCAATGTCAATTGTTCCTAAAATCTCTGCTACTAGAGACATTTGTGGACGTTTTTCAGGATTGTCTTGCCAACATGCTATTGTATAAATAAATAAAAAATTAACTTACTAAAAAAATTTTAAATATAATTTTACATAGGTAATTAATTTACCTGTATACAGTTCAATATAAGGTTCAGGTGTCCCTCGAATTATACTTTCTCGAGCTCCATTAACAATTTGTGAAATAAGATCTAAACCAGTGGATGAAAAATTTTGAAATGGTGTTCTTCCACTAGATATCTGCCACATTAGGACACCTATGCTATATACATCAGATGCTTTTGTTTGTGTATAGTTTTTAAGATCTTTTAAAAATCTAGGATCAGAGTATTTTATAGAGCCAAATGCTTTGGAAAGTGATATTGTACCATCAACAATTGACTTTGATGATCCAAAATCACCAAGCTTTATGTCATCTTTATGAATAAAATTATTGTCTGCATGCTTTTATAAAATAATAACAAATTATTTACCATTTTGAAAAGGAAAAAAATATAATTTAAAAAAAGATACTTACTAAATCTCTATGAATTATATCATTATTATGAAGACACAATAAAGCACTTGAGATTTGTTTAGCAAATTTTAATTTTAGATTCCAATCCATTTTATTAAATTTTTTGATAAATAATGAGATAGTGCCATTATTTGCATATCCCATGACCATCATGTATGTATCTAAAAACAAAAATTCTTTAATAAAAGTTAAAACCCCTCACTTGAGATAAAAATACTTTTTTACCATTTTTGGTTATGCCATAGAAACTTATAATATTCTTATGCATTTCAACTTGTCGATGTAGTTGAAGCTAAAAAGAAAACATTAAGATTAATAAATTCATATTCAGTAAAGATAATTGCAAAATATTGAAGGTAAATATAGACAGATAGCAGCCATTACCTCATTTACAAGTTGTTCAAATGTAAGGCCTCTTTTCAATGATTTCAAACCATGTGTTTCTCATGGTTAGAATTATATGCTTTATAAACTGTTCCAAATGAACCACTCCCAATTTCATGAACATCACTAAATACTTTATATTGATGAAATGTCAAATGTCTATTTTTAATTGCTTCATCAATCCACTCGCTCATTTTTTTTTAACAAAAGAAAAGACGAAGTTTAATCTAACTTCATTACACCAGAGATGATGATTTTCTGCGATGATATAACGTCTGTGCTAAAAACAAATACTGTGGCGAAAGTGATAAAAGTGACGAAACAATTAAAATAGAAAGTGGTGAGGAAGAAAGCAGTGACGGTAATAATAATATTAAAGATGATATTAAATACTTATTTTTGTATTTTTTTTTTAATATGCGCATGAAATTTTTGCAATTTCCCATAATCGACAATTAATCTGAAGTGTCTTACGCAGTTTCAAATATGCTTTATTTTAATGGCAGTTTAAATATATAGAATTTCTATTTTTTACAAACAATCATAAAAGCATAGAATAGTTTTTTAATGTACCCATATTCCATCAATGATTGTAATATCAATATTATCAATTTAAAATACATTCAGGTGCCAATTAGGTTCTCTTTTATCACGTATAAAAGAAAAAGTGGACCAATTCCTTTTAGAAGCAAGCCGATAAAGTAGGAGCTGAAATTATAAATTATGTCGGTTTAACAGAATGAATATAACTTGGTAAAAATTAAAAATTCACATTTTTTTTTTAAATAGAATTATCTACGGGACATTGCATTATTCGAGAAAAAATCATGCACCGTCACGTCTCTAGTTATGACCCAGATTGTTAACGTTATATACCGCGAATAAATCGGAGAAAACCTCCAAATTTATCGCATTTTATTACACTAAACTATATATATGAATAAAGTAAATCTCGAAAAATAATCTGAAAATTAATATATTAATATTATTATTCTGTGGCTCCAAATATCTTTTCATGAAAAAGGTTGATGACCAACAGTTTAATTAGCAATTTTACAAATCTGCGTTTCCTAAACAGAAAAGTTTTTTCATCGCAAATTAGGGTCAAGATTATCCATGAACAATCTTTTGTCACATCACATTTATGACTTGTTATTACAAGGTGACGATGCCTTGTATGACCTAGTAAATGACATTTTAGATAAAATACTTTCTCCCATTCTGGATAATCACACTTGAAGTTTTTTATTAATGTCTTGTATGTTGTAGCAAGTTAACATTAAAACAAATATATTGTTGCATCTCACTTGAAATTTTTTACCATGGATTTTACTGTGTAGATAAAGATCCATTATTATTATTACTTTGATCACCATCTTTCTTCATCACCGGCCGATTTCATTATAAGCATCCGAATTCCAATTTCCAATTTCACCATTACCATCTTCATCACTTATTTCAATTTTATTATCTTCATCTTTGTCATAAATTCGCTATCACAATCATAATTACCATTGTAATTGTTGTTGTTGTAATTATAATTATGAATTCTCGTTTATCAAAGGTTAATTTTTCTTGATCTTCACGGGAAAGTCAGCAATATTTTAAAGTATTTTTCCATTGCGGGCAATTACCTTGCATAACAATTTCTTATTTGACATAAATGAAAATCAAATTATGCTGCTGAAATATAACGGAAACTCGATTTAGTTTCCTTACGTGTTTTCACTACGAAAATCCCTGATATAAATTCACGTGACACCACCATCTATTTTTGCGTAAAAAAAAAATAATCATAATAATCAGTTAAATCAGTTATTAAAGTTACTACTATTCATCAAAAACTTTCTTTAAAACACAACGTACAATATACCACAACAATGAATCCATCCAAAATCGGCTATTATTTTCATCACTTTCCTATTACAAAAACCTTGGTAAAGTATTTACTTTTATTTTATACGCTATATACCATTATTGAGTATTTTTGTGATTGGATATATATATCTTGGAAATTTTATTATATTAACAGCAACATCATCAGTTGAAATCCAACAACAACAACAACAACAACAACAATGATGATGATAACAGTAGTAGTAATAAACGTGAAGCTGAAAATAAAGAAAACGCAAAGCCATGTTCTACTAGTAATAGTAGTAGTAATATTACATCAATTAATCTTTCCACTAGAAAAAACGAAGATGATAGAAAAGATTTAACAATCGAAGGATCACATTCATCTCTTACATCATCTTCTGAACCTTTGTCTTCTACTCCGAACGTTAGGTAATTTTCATTATTTCGGGTAGCAAATTCGATGAATGGATCAATTAATCTATTTACTCATTAGTGATGACGGATTAAAGATTTGGACATTAAAAAATTTTGATATTGGATGTGGACTTGGTAAAGGACATTATGGACGTGTTTATCTTGCAAGAGAGAAAACAAGCGGATATATTGTTGCATTGAAAGTGGTGTCTATATCGGAAATTATCAAAGCTAAAGCCGAAAAACAATTAAGAAGAGAGATTGAAATACAAAGTAATCTAAGGTTAGACAACTAAATAAATACTTACTCGTGCGGATAATTAATTATTGATAATAAGTATGCCAATTTAACATGTTGATTATTGTTATAGACACCCAAATGTTATACGTCTATATGGACATTTCTATGATGAAACACATGTATTTCTGATTCTTGAATACGCAGCTGAAGGTGAACTTTATAAACATTTAAAAAAGTGTACCAAATTTACTGAAAAACGGGCGTCAAGGGTTTGTGCATTCTATTCAATCAATCAATTAACGTCTAAGTAAGATCCAAATAATTATTATAATTCAATCATCAATCAAAAATGTCTATTAGTATATTGCTCAGATGGCAAGCGCTTTAGTTTATCTTCATCAAAAGCATATTATACATCGCGATATCAAGCCTGAAAATCTTTTGTTGGATTTTAATGATGAACTTAAAATAGCCGATTTTGGTTTGTCAGTACATTCACCTAGTCAAAGGTAAATGATAATAATATAATAAATATTTTTATAATAGTATCTTCACTAATATCTATAACATTCATTACACTATCTAATAAGACGCACAACATTTTGTGGTACATTGGATTACCTTCCACCAGAAATGATCGAGTGTCGAGCACATAATTCAAAAATTGATCTGTGGTCTCTTGGAGTCTTGTGTTATGAATTATTGTCTGGCGCTGCACCATTTGCGGAAGAGGATTATTCTGCTACGTATAAAAGAATTAGAAAAGTTGATTTTAAAATGCCTCAACACATTTCGGAAAATGCTAAGCACTTGATCAGATCGGTAAAACTTTTTATCATTTGAAAAAATCAAATTATTCCTTTTCTATATCTTTATCCAAATATTTTATATGATTGCTCCACACATACACACGCATTAAAAAAAAATTTTAATTAAATTAAAGCTTCTTCAAAAAAATCCTGATAAACGATTACCTTTGGAAGAAGTCTTGAAGCACCCTTGGATTTTAAAGCATAAGAAACCAACCTATTTCCAATAAGGATAATAGTATTAAAAATTGATTTATTGATCTTGGTTTATATAATATATATAAAAAAACTTATCATAAAAAATCTCGTCAGGATTTCTGTTCATCAAAAAATCATCACAGGAGAAAAATATTCTCTCATTGTATTCTTTCCTTATTTTTTTTTTAAAAAAAAAGAATGCTTAACAATAATATTTTGAAGTAATTACCATTATCCGAAGTAATTTGTTTTTAAAAAAATATTTAAAAATACAATTAAAATAATTTTGATGCAAACAATAATATACAATAATAATGACACAATCGATATATTAAAATTTTCCATTTTCAATTACAATGACATCTATTCCTTATTTGTAATTTTTTTAATCATTTTGATGATCAAAATAAATAATTCAACACAGAAATAACAACCAGAACAATAATAATGACAACAAGGCAAACTTTATCAAATAATGACCATCCTCCCATTACACCATTAAAAAAAATGTTTGCTGCTTGTAGTGGAGCTTTATTAACTTCACTTTTTAGTAAGTGAAAAAAAAAAAATTATGTAACAAACATAATGAATATGTTAATTTAACAATGAAATTATTATTATAGCAACACCATTTGACGTAGTAAAGGTTAGATTACAAGCACAAAGCATTTCCAATAATAGTCATAATAATGTAAAAACTTCATCATTTTCATCAAACATCAAATCATCACCATCACCACCATCATCACACTCTTTAATATCATGTTGTCACCATCATCATCATCACCATAATAATAATAATAATAATAATCAAGTATTTTTTTCAAAAAGAAACATAAATCAAGAAATTTTTTGTCGATTAGATCCAAATCTATCTCCTAATCAAGCATCATCATCATTATGTTGTACCGCTTCAAATACATCAATTACTCTCCCATCATCATCTACTCAGAAAGTAATAGTAACAAGAAATCATCATCATCAATTTAATGGAATACTGGTAAGCAAACATTCATTCAATGACTGGCTTTATTATTATTAATTAATTAACATGATTTAATTTTTTTGGAATTAGGATGGTATAATTAAAATGGTCCGTTATGAAGGAGTCACATCTTTATGGCGAGGTCTTTCACCATCATTGTTAGTTGGTTAATTATTTAGAATGAATGAATGGATATTTTATTAAATTATACTTACTATAAAAAAAAAAAAAATCCAATTCATTCATTTATATTTTTATTTATACTTTTGTACATAAAATTGCCATCTAAAATTAGAGTAATGTCTGTACCAGTGACGGTTATATACTTTGTAGGTTATGATCATTTAAGAGACAAATTATGGACTACATGGAAAGGAAAATATTCTGAAACTTATTCACCATTAATTGCTGGAGCTACTGCAAGAAGTAAAATTTATTATTCTTTTCAGGGAAGGGCTAGATTTTTGAGTGAATCTTTTTTTAACAAATATATATTCTTATCATGATAAATAGCAATTGCAGCTTCAATAGTATCACCATTAGAATTGTTTCGAACAAGATTACAAGGCCCTGAAGGTATAAATGGACTGAGAAGAGTATTGAATGGTGTACAAACCATGGTTATCAATAATGGTATTTCATCATTATGGCGTGGTCTAGAACCCACATTATGGAGAGATGTGCCGTTTTCTGGTAAAGATGAATAAAATTTTTGTTGAAACAAATTAATTTTATGATTTTAAATGAATTGGACAAAAAATAAATTTATTTGTTTTATTTTTTTAGCAATTTACTGGACTGGCTATGAATTTATGAAAAAAAATTTAAAAAATTATTTACATGAAAACAATCTTGATGAAAAAGTTAATAACTTTGAAGTGTCTTTTTTGTGTGGCGCTACTTCTGGTGGTGTAAGTAAAAATCATTTCTCGGATATATATATCTATTTGTTTATGTAAATATACACTCATATATAAATATGCTCGTCATATATATTCTGCTGGTTGTTAGTTTGCAGCATTGGTAACCACACCTTTCGATGTAGCCAAAACAAGAAGACAAGTTACAACAAATCAAAGTAAGTTTTCGTTTTATTAGAATTAATTATTTGAAATCTTTGATTCTTCTCGAGTGTAAAAACTAAAACAAGGTCATTATTATTGATTAATATATTATAAAGTGAAAAGTAAGAATAGTATGTTAAATGTGATGGAGATGATTGTTAAAGATGGAGGATACAAAGAGTTATTTAGAGGTAGGTTACCTTACCGTATACTTTTTCTCTTTTTGATCAGTGTACCAATTGAATCACACTAACATTACATGTTTGTTTATTTAGGTGGTACACTTCGAATATCAAGAGTAGCAGTTAGTTGTGCACTTATGATTTCAACGTATGAAACATTGATAAAGATGATCTGAAAAATTTTCAAAATCTCTTTGAGCGTAACTTCCCTTTTTCTTTGTTTATAAAAAAAGTATAATGATTGTGTGTATGACACATTTAACTTAATTAGTTTTGCCCAAAATTATACTCGATCGTTGTACAATTCTTACTATTATTACGTATTTTATATTAATTGTTGTTCATGTGATTAAAAAAAAAATGTAAATAAATATATATTTTGACAATTCATTTAAAAAAAAAATTTTTTATCATTGTAAGGTTAAACCTTTAACTGATATATCAAAAAGAGAGAGCTATTATATATTATATAACATGTAATTATTTTCCATTTTTTTAATTATCTTTTTCTAAAACAATTTTCATTCAGTTTTTTTTTGTTAGAATGTCGGATAGATATACTCGTTTAGAAAAGTTGGGCGAAGGAACTTACGCAACAGTTTATAAAGGAAGAGATCGCAGTACAAATGAAACAGTTGCTTTAAAAGAAATACATTTAGACACTGAAGAAGGAGCGCCCTCAACAGCCATTCGTGAAATCTCTTTAATGAAAGAGTTGAGACATCCAAACATTGTAAAGTTACTAGACGTAATTCACACAGAAAATAAGTTGATGCTTGTTTTTGAATACATGCATCAAGATCTTAAAAAGTACATGGATACCAATGGAATAAACGGTGCATTAGATCCACTGACAATCAAACGATTCATGTATCAAATGTTATTAGGGATAGATTTTTGTCATGAAAATAGAGTTTTACATCGTGATCTAAAGCCTCAAAATCTTTTAATAAAAGATAACGGAAACCTTTTAAAATTAGCAGATTTTGGTTTGGCAAGAGCTTTCGGGATCCCAGTCACAACCTTTTCAAATGAAGTTGTAACGCTATGGTATCGTTCACCAGATGTGTTATTGGGTTCGCGCACCTATTCCACTTCAATTGATATATGGTCAGCTGGTTGCATCATGGCAGAAATGTATACCGGCAGACCTTTATTCCCAGGAACAACAAACGACGATCAATTGGTAAAGATTTTTAAGACAATGGGCACACCACCAGAATCCATTTGGAAAGGGTTAGTAACTTATCCTGAACATTTGAAACGGTATCCTACTTATCCACAACAAGATTTGAAACAAATGATCCCGATAATTGATAATATTGGTTTAGATTTGTTAAGCAAAATGTTGGTTTATGATCCTGATCAAAGAATCACAGCAAAAAGTGCATTAAGTCATGTTTATTTTAGTGATATTATTCTCAATCAAAATTTACAGCAACAACAACAACAACAGCAACAGCAACAACAACAACAACAACAAACATCCCAGCCTTCTTCTCATCCATCTCTGCATAATAATAATCATAATCAATTTGTCAATGTCAATATGAACAATATGAACAATCTACATAACCTAAACAATCTTAATAATCTAAACAATATTAACAATCTAAATAATATCAACAATCTAAACAATATTAACAACCTAAACACAGTCAATCATCTGATACCTCATCATCACCATCACCACCATCACCACCATCAAGCAATCCCTAACAATAATAATATGAGATTCACAAATCCAAATAGTGTTGGTGGTGGTATGCCTTTACAACTAAATACGATGCCACAACAACACACACATGGTGTAAATATGCAGTCAATCAATCTACAAAATCTACAATTACTATCATCAGCAGCAGGTGTTAACATGTCAACAGCAATGCCTCTACAACAAAATGTTATTCAACCAATCATGACTGTACCTCCACCTCAAATCATTCCAGCTCCACCAATGGCTCCAGTACAACAATTGTTAAATCTTCCATCTAATAGTGCATCAATTCCTCCACCTTTGAGACATCAGACAAGAAGGCAAACATATGATTCGTATGGTATTGATTAATCAATCAACCATATTATACATACTTGCACACACACACACACACATATATAATAACGAACTATTAAAAATATTATTATTTGCAAAAAAAATATTTTTATATTTATTAAATTTGTTAGAAAAATAAATTTTAATGAAAATTATTTCATACCAAATTATATTCTTTTGATATCGAACAATCAATCTACATATCCTTTACTGATACACCTATTATTTATTTATTTTTACAACATGAGTTTTAATAAACTCTTTGCACACCTTTAACCCAATTCTAGAGCCTACTTGCTCCATTCATAACAATTGCATACTGTGAAAATTTGGTTATATACACCAAAAATTTAAATTCTCTTGTTGCATATTTGGAATCTGCGTAATTTGAAATTCACGCGCGTGAAATTCAAATTAGCCAATCAGAAGTTTGTATTCAAACACCCCACCCAAAATTTAATTATTTATATTAGTAAATTTCAAATTGACACAAATTTGATTTTCACGCACAATATACATAATAATAAAATGATAATTAAATCAATTCCTATGTATGTAGATTTGAAAAGCAAAGACCTTCTCCCTACCATTCAATTAATTAATTGTGGCATAGTTCTCCTAGCCTATGTTTTTTTGTAAATTATGGGAAAAATAAATGAATCCAAAATAGCATAATTTTTTACTTTTAAAATTTCTTCAATTTCAAAAAATCCCCCGTCTTTATATTATTGCCATATATTTATCAATATCTTTGAAATCTTTGAACCTCCAACTTTCCTAACCATTTAAAGCTTAAATCGCCAAACAGGAATAAAAAAAACCTTCAATTTACGCCGTCAAATTACCCAAAAGATATATTTGATAGTAATAGTCTGATTTGCAAACCAGGTTTACCAAAAATGTCAAGTGGCGCGTTAACTTCGATTTCGTTTTATTGATTTAAATTTTTCCTTGGGAGAAAAATGTAGCTTTGTAGTTAAAATTACATAATAATGGTAATAGTAATGTGAGTCCTGCAATAACTTTAGAATTCTTCAATAACTTTATTAAATAGATTATTTTTACCCAATTCATTTGTTCTAATTCGATTTAGTTTGATATAAAGGGCTGCGAGGATGTGATGCTTTATAGTAACAATCGCAATATTAATTATTATTATTACTGTGAGAATAATTTTAATCTTTAAAATATTCCCACGCTTTAAAATCCATATTCATTGAGTCGGTTTTAAACTTTTTATGAAATACACAAAAACGTATATGACAAATACGATTTGATTTTTAGAATTGGTAAATGCCAACCCACAATTTTTAACCATCATCACACGTATCACATCACTATAAAATGTCATCATACAAGAAATTTAAGTCACAGTTAAATTTCCTATTTCATAAAAAAAGGAATTTCTTTGCTTAAAAATCCCAGCGGAATGTCTTTGGCCTCAAATTCCGAGTCTTACGGTCAAAAAGATTCACTCATCCCGTCTATCCGCAATATTTTAAAGGTATGTCATACATATATTTAAAAAGGTATTATTTTGTACTAAAAATCAATTTTAAAATTTTTTTTTGTTAGGATTACTCCTTTGAAAGCATATTCAAAGAATTTCTTCAAAATGGTCAGAATTCATTTTATATAATATTTTTATGATCTAAATCTGGCAGATCATCTTTTTCTAGTAATAATCTTCCACGATCTGAACCTTGAGCCCAGGTTCCATTAAGATGTACGGGTAAATATGTTGTATCAGGTAATGGAAAAAACGAAAATATTCTTCCATCGAAGTCATTGCTTTCTTCTTGGCCATTATTGAGCCTTTTAAGCAAAATAGCCACTCCTCCTATCACACGTAATCGATGTCGTTCTGCGTATTTCTTCAGTACTGAGTCTTCTGGTTTATTTTGAGCACCAGTCGCAACCATCCATTGTTCCATTGGCAGGTTTGAATCATCATCAATCAGCTCGATTTCTATCTGAAAAATTTGATTTTCGTCAATAGCGATATAATTTCTTTTATTTTGTGTATTATCGCCTAATTCATTTATAGTTGCCTGCCAGAGAGGAATCATTTGAAATAGCATAGTTTCTTTGACATGTGACATTTGAATTTTTTCGATATTTCGGAGGAATAATAATTGGGAGGAGATATTTGATTTGATCCCATTAAACAAATCAAGAACTTCCGTAATAGAAAATACATCATCAGATATTTCACTTGGTTGATCGTTTTGCCTAAGCGGTATTCGGAAGAGTGTTCCTTCAAAAGTTGATCGAAAATCGACGCCTTCAATGTTTTCAAAAGGGACCAATTGGTCCTTTTCAGTATATCTACGGATGCCCTTTTTAGGAAGAGGGCAAATGATACCACGTTGAGAAAGGTCGTTTTTCAATGGCAAGAATTTTTCCTGCGGATCCAGAAACGCGATAAAATCACCGCTGATGAAACTGGGAACATCGGTAAAGTGGTAGCACGAATTAAATCCCAGTCCGTGTTTTCCAATCATTTTATCGTCGTTTTGTTTTCCGCCAACGCGTAATTGCATGAGGGACTCAAAATCAGATTCTTTGAATTTTGCATCATTAAAAATTAAAATAGCAGGCCCTTGCCATGGCTTCATTTTATCACAAAGTAAGGAGTTCGTAGGGTGTGAGCGACCATCGATAATTATATGAAAACGTGTGGCCCCAGCATCATCAGCTATTGTTTATCGGAGATGAACATTATAAAAAAAAATGCAAGATCATAAAAATATTATATAAAATGAATTCTGACCATTTTGAAGAAATTCTTTGAATATGCTTTCAAAGGGATAATCCTAACAAAAAATTAAAATTAACTTAAATACAAAATAATACTATTTTAAATGTATGACATGCCTTGATAATATTACGAATGGACGAAATAAGTGTTTCATTTTGACCATAAGATTGAGCATTTGAAACCAAAGACATGGTTGGAATTTTCAAGCAAAATATTAAATGAAATATTTGGAAAATTTTTTATATTTTTGTCTAGCAATAAAAAAGTAACATTATATGGATCGTTGATTGTAATAATAATAATTACGAAAAAGGTTTAAAAATTAGTAAAATAATCAACAATGCCACTAAGTCAGTAAATTGTTTTTATAAAAAAATGGCTACGTAATTTGCATTATACAAGTATTATTCTTTCCAAGTTTAGGAATGAAATTTGAATCAGCCAATCAAATATTTTTATTTTAAATGTGAATTTCCCACACGATTACAAAATTTATTATTATTAATAATATTAATATTGTGGGGAAAATATCCGGCAACTCTTTTTTCCGAAAGTTAAAATTTTTTAGTCATTTCTACCCAAATCGATTGATTCGTGAATACATCTAATTTACTATTAATATTACTATGACCTTCAAACAATTAAAATAAAACGAAAAGAACTCTGCTTATCGCCACATAGATTTGTCCTGGTGCAAACGTATTTTCAATGAATGGATTATAATAATATAAATTATAAATATTGAAAATCAAATCGTGTGAGTGTGTGAATATTAGAAAATTGTGATACAAAATTCTTCGGGAAATGTGAGAATGAAATAAAAAGTGAAAAATTTATTCTTTACCTGATGTTCACTTTGTCTGGTTTGTTGCAAATAGTAGTAATAGGACAAATGAAATCAAAACAATGAAAATCATGTGAAATTCCTTCATGTTCAAAACACTTCTTAATATGGTGCGCGAAGCCTATAACCACCATTTTTGCACGTGATTTTTGAAAGAATAGAAGTCCGTTTCTGTTGATCCTT